ATATTTTTTTTCTAGTCATTAGAAAATAATTTAACTTGAACTTTAATATTCTTTCTATGACTTCAGGACTGCACTTCTCTTATGCCTACAACATATATTAACCTCTACCTGAGATGCTTGACACAAATCTACTAAAAAACAAATTCCAAGAATCCATTTAAAAAAGAAGATAAAAAAAAAATTGCGAGCTCCTGGTAAAGGCAACAGCCATTCTCTGTTCACCCATTGCTGGAAAATAGGTATAATTTTAACCAAGAAAACTAAAAAACAGATGACAAAATTATGTTTTTTGAGTTAAGAGACGAGTGATTATTGCCTGACTAATGGCTCAATGGCTCATTTAGTTTTCTTCTCTTCTTCGCTCTGCTCTATTGCCCGAGTACTGGTCGTGGCTGCTTGTTCATCCTCCCCACCGAAACCAAATTCATTTACTCGTTTCTTGTCCACCGGGTACACCCATCTTTGATAAAGGTATATCAAGAATATAACATCTGCACATCAAAAAAAAAAAAGAAATTAATTGTTTGTGAACGTAAAACAAACAAAAGATATTCTGAAACGAAATTTTTCACTTTTATTCTGCTAGAGCAATGTTTGAAGTAACAGATTGTGTGGCAAGGTTGAAGGGTTTTAACACAAATACAAGGTACAATAAACAAACAATATTTTACTAAAACAAAATGTTGCGCATTTAATCAGCGAAAGAAAATTTCACTTTAGAAAGAATAAAAATTGTGTGACAGCTCACCATCACGGAAGACGGAAAGTCGATGAAGGATCGGCATCTTAATAACAAACGCAAAGAGATCATCGATGATCGTGTTCAAGAATTTGTATGTCATCTGTCTCCATGGCATATGGGCGACAGACTTTAGCTTATAATTAATAAACAGCTGAGGGCACATCATAATAAAACCTGCAGCAAACCAAACAAATGTTATTATATTTCTAAACTCTAGATATTTATAACTAAAACATATGGCTTCGAAAATATCATGAACCGCTTAACTTTGTTATTGTTATCATTAAACACATTCTTAACAGAAATCCAACTACAAAGTGTATTTGTTTTTAGTTCTTCGCCTGGTTGCTTCTCCATCACAAGGTAGGGAAATAGATCATAATACTAACTTCTTCAAACCTTATGTATGAAACTATATATAGTTCAAAGAACGAAAAAGAAAAGGGGGAAAAAAGCTAAAAGGACGATTTAGATGCTAACCAAACATGTAGACGCAGCTCGTAAGGGATGAGAGAATCCAAGAGTACCAACTCTTGTGTCGTTCGTACTTCAGAGAATAAATAGAGAAACATACAGCGAGAAACAAGAGAACGTATGTCAAGTATTTCATTGCAATATCATCATATTCTTTAGTCTTGTTACGAGCATATGACTCACGGTCACGGAACCTCAGCCTTGGTATAACACCTGATCTGTCAATCTGAATCGAGAGAATAAAAAAGAACAAAGATAAAAGCTACATTACAACAAAACCTTAAATTAGGCATAAAAATATATACTAATAAGTGATGGAAATGGAAATTCAAGTGATGACTTTAAAGCGGACCTCAATATGCATGGCTTTTCCTATTTTCCAGAACTCGATACAGCAGCCAATACCAGAACTTGCAAGTATCATCCACGAAGTTTCATTGTCGAGGAGATAAAGGAAGACTATTAGCTGAGAAAAGAAATTCACGACAACAGATTTTGCGGATAATCCCTCCATGGACTTGTTTTTATTCCAGAACTGAATATCTGCAAAAAATAAAAGTATTATAACATGCTTGTAAGTTCGAAAAGCAAATTACATCGACAGTGCACAAAATATGATAAATAATGTCATTACCGTTCTTAAAAGCCAAGAAGTCGAACAAGGAGTGAAGTAGCGAAACGACCATGGTAACTACCAAAAGGTAAGGGTTCCCCTCCAGAAAGACTCTCTGTTAAGACCAAATAAGTAGTAAACCATTTGTAACGTCAAACACCAACCAAAATACAAAATCATATCAAATCACTAGATGTCTTTAAACACTATAATTCTCTAGTGGTGAACGAACATGCAAATTCCAAAAAGATGTCATGTTCACAGAACTTAGGTGCATTTTCATGAAAACATACACAACAAATATTTCTTCAGGAAAAGATATACCATAGAAAAGAAAGCATAATGTCATAATCGTACCTTAAGTTCATCAGCTTCACCTTCAAGCATGCTCCCATAATTCCTATGAATCTGGAATGACTGGTCAATCTGTAGGTATAGCTGCCATTTTGTCATGCTAATGGGACCAACCTCAAGATTCAGAGGCAATTCATTCACCGTCTCATTGATTTGTATCAACTTATCCCGAAGCAACCAAAAGTCATTGCAGAATATGGTGGGATAGTAGTTTCCTGTACTATACTCAATGTTCAAGTCTTACAATTCAAGTCAAGGAACCAGCTATTACGATATAAAATGGTTGATTTCAGCCAATCATGAGAGTTTAGAGGGTATAGACAATCAACCACCCAATTACAGATAACAATTCATATGCTATAACATCACTAGCTCTTCCTAAAATGTAACAGACATTGATGGCCACAAAAAAATAAATAAATAAATAAATAAATAAAAACAGCTACAGTGCTCTGCATGAAGAGCTGACACGGAAAACTTTATTATGAAGGTCTAACTAAACCACATAACTCAGAAATCAGAATTCCCTCGTAAATAAGCATTTATGACAAAAGCACAAGAAACCAATTGCATTCAGATTTCCGGAAAATTATATTTTCCAAAACATTGAGCTTCCTCTAGGAAACCGATCATGAACATAAAACTTTATACATATGTTTGATCACTGGACACAAATTATGGAACTCGATCATCGTACTAGGATTGTAAGCTCTACATGAAGTAAATGGAACTGTAGAATCAAAAGGGCATAAAATGCTTCATATATATAGTGAGGAGATATTAATCATCGAGCAATAATCAAATAAATCATCTCTGACAAATAAAGGGATGCAGGCACATGACATTTCTGATGGAATTACATAGTGAAAAAAGTTACAAAGGCATCATTGCTATCAATTAGACAAAAAACTATATTCCCCACAACAAATACCAACGTAACATGGCAAATGTAAGCAACCACCATCCATAATAACAGACAAACAAATTAAATGAGTTTGTATACTGAAGTTAGGGAACTTGACCAGGCATTTGATTTAGTTGCTTTTCTAAGAAAATGTTGTCTATTAAAGCCAATCCACCATGAATTATATCATTCAAACCACAAGTTTTCTCTTGACGGGGAACAAGGCAAATAAAACCTAAACCACTCACGGGAATAGCAATGGGACAAGGTTTTGGGATAAACAAACAAAATGGCCATAACCATGTAAAACTGGCAATAACTCAAGGATACAAGGAGCAATATTTGGCGGAACTGCATTCTGAGTGTATCTGCGAAAGAAAACATTTCTCATATGAGCATCTTGACCATAAAAAAACAACCCACACAATCAAAGCACGTAAGGCAGACGAAAGTATATGTTAATCCATATGTCCAAGAATAAACATTATTGCATTATGCTCGAGCTTAATGCACAGAACTTCTCAACACTTGCAGCAAAAGAGCTCCACATATAATCACTCCACAAGTCCACAGAAGCATGACATCAATATGAACATCGAAATCTTGTTTGACCAGTTTCCTCAGTGTTTCACTCTAAGACTAAATTGTAATTCCGAATGCCCTCCCTCCCTCCACTATTCATATACAATTTCACAGTGAATTATTACAGAGCAGTTCTTCAAAATACTCTATATCTGTACCCTCCCATTTATGGACATCCATATCATATGTTGCACTGCTTCTCAACCAAATAACAGCTTTTAATGTTGCAAAGGAGCAGGCTCTACACATACAAGAAAACAATACAATATAGATTCTTCTCACTCCCATTATCCCAGCCAATCCTGCCAAGCCCCCCAATCCAAAATGATCTTCAGCCAGTCTTTCTAAATCTGTGGAGTGCACAGCTTTTAGTCCAAAAATCTAAAATGTGACAGAACAAGTCTCATCTTGGAAGTCCATGAAGAATTTAAAATCAAATTCCACTAGTTTCTATCATAATCTACTAGAGTCACAGTATCTGGCTATCAGCTACATACACTAAATGAGTGCTTGAATAGAGTTTCACTAGAGAATTTTCTATGGAAACAACAAAATGATAAAAAGGTTGGGAATGAAAACAACAGTAACATAAAATTGAACATCAGCTTTAATAATGTTAGTTATGTTAAATGTTTTCTTGTACAATAAGTTAGGTTTAGGCCTTTTATGTATCTATATATATGTGTATATGTCTTTGTGAATAATACATAACATATTTTTCCCACTTTCTTACATGGTATCAGACTAGGTTTAGGGTCAATTATAGGTTTCTCTTTTGTCCACGTCTCCGGCCGTCTTCAATTCTCACCTCCCAGACCATCCTCTCCGGCAGCCTCCGGCGAGCCGTCGGTCAAAATTTCAGCCCGTTTGGCGGCGCGTGGGGCCCACACTCGCCCGGTTTCTGCGACAGCACCAGCAGCTTCAGACGGAGCGTGAGAGCCACCCCCAGCTCCGATCGCCGCGATTTTTCAGAGGTCGACTCCTCTCTTCGTTGGCTACGTCCTGGTGTGCTCGGATTTGGTTTTGGTGAACTTTTTTATTTCGGTCATTTACTGCTATTATATCCGGT